GCATAATTATTTACTCAAATGTCATTTTTGTATATCTTTGTTTTCTATTATTTTTATATTTTTATATATATTATATACTTGTATATATATTTGTATATTTCTATTTTCTGTTACTCTTCTAATATCATATTTGTGTATTTCTATTTTCTGTTATTTTTAATATCATATTTAGGTATTTCTATTTTTTCTTATTTCTAATATCGTATTTTTTTCTATTTTCTATTATTTCTAATGTAAAAATATACTAATATGCAAGGTGTCTCAGCTAAGGGAATCCACCCGCAGTGCTGTGAACAATTATAACCTCGAAGTAACTTTTGCATTTTCACTGATATTTAAACAAAAACCAAAAGAAACTATATTTCTATTTTCTATTATTTCTAATATAGAAATATACGAATATCACATTTTGTTGTGTTTTTGTTTCGATCTCAGTAACTATGTGAACGTTAGTTTGAGTCTAAAGCTATACACACCACTGTATGTCGAATGAAATTGAATTATTGAATAAATTCCCCGTGTATGTATTTTTATAATTTCAGTAATCGTGAATGAACAAAATTTTAAACGTGTCGAAATAACGCGGTTTGTAAACCTACCGTAAATCTATCGGACAAAAGTCGAAACCGACGATTTTTTTCGTTGGCGTACTTGGAGCCGCATTATTCATATCGTACAATAGAGGCTCTCTTATCTGAAAGTTTATTTTTGTAATATCCTGACACCAACAAAACATATCTATGTACATATGTATTATCAAAAAATTTCATCTAAGTTCTCTACTATGCGATAATAATACAACGATTAGATAATAGAACGTGCGAATACCAGAATATTGCAAAAATAAATATTCAGCTAAGGGGACCTCTACTATAATCAGATTTTTACTAAAATCAATTTGTTTCCGATTATTAAATTTAGCTAACCATTTGCCGGAGTTCAACGATACGAGTTAACACTTTATAATTTGATACTTTCGATATATTCGCAGTTTTGCTTTATATTTACAAGAAATCAGTTTTATTATACTAAACGATTTACTTATATTTATATAAATAATAAGTAATTATTTTTGTTTTGTATTTTTATAATTATATATATTTGCAGATTTTCTTTGTATAAATTTTATTATTTTAAAGAACTTAATTAGATTTATATAAATAACAAGTAAGTTTATCTTTTATTTACACTTGCCAATAAGAAATCGTTTTTTATTTAAATAATCATTTAAACGAACATTTACTTAAACGATGCCCGACTCTACAGCCAGACCTCCGATAACGTGTTCTGAAAATTCCTGCTAGACTTTTGTCCAGCTAACTGGACAAATGATAACGGCCTGCAACATTGTCGGAACAAGACAAAGCGATACCAGAAGGAATGCGCGAAGAGTGCACCGGTAAACGATCCAGGCGATCGGAGCGATTGTTCCGTTGCGTAATTAGAGAGCCGACGGTTGCACGACGGTGAAAGTCGTCGTCCGATAAAAAAAAAAGCGAATTATTTCATCGTGGTACGCGGCGCGAGTCGGCGAAACGATCGGTGCGTACGAATACATATAATCTCCGGAGAGAGAAACAGAGAGAGAGAGAGAGAGAGAGAGAGAGAGAGAGAGAGAGAGAGAGAGAGAGAGAGACGCGAATCGCGATCGGACGATCCTGACAGGTTTATCCAATTAGCGCGTCGTCTATGTACGCGCCGCGGTTATCGTCGAAAAATTTCTGACTGCGCACGAAGACCGTTATTCTCACATTTGCGAAAGTGAGCGGTGACCGATGATAGATTGCCCAAGCGTACGCATTCGCCGCGCGACTCTTGACTTCCAATAAAATGGAGCCTATCGTGCAATTTAATAATATTCCTGCGTCACTATTAATAGACGCTTCTGCCTTCTAAGCAGACGTTTCTATCTTATAAATAGCGTTTCGATGTGATATCGCTATCTGACGTCGGGAAATATTCAAACACTGAACGGTTTGCGGGCGTCAGCAGAATTCGGCATCATTTAAGTAAATGTTCATTTAAATGATTGTTGAAATGAAAAATTTTGTTATTTGGAAGTTTAAATAAATGACAAAAGTAATTACTTTAGTTATATGTAGATGTAAATATATTATTTAAGGTGATACAATTTATTTCTTATTTATGAACACAATTTCAATTGTTACCATTTAATTGCTTATTATACAGAGTGTCCCAAAAATGTCTCGTAATCCGGAAATGAGGGGGGGGGGTCCTGATCATTTGAAGTAACTTTTTTCTTAGCGAAAATGTTTGTTAACGAAAAACAATGACCAATGAGAGGCGAGATCAACTGGCGCAAGACGGCTGAGCCAACGAGCGGCCGAGCTAACGGGTGGACAAAGCCCTGTTCATTGACTCGGTGACCAATGAGAGGCGAACTCGGCTAGCTCGAGGCAGCCGAGCCAATGAGCGGCCGAAGCATCGAGTGGCCGAGCTAATAAGCGGCCGAGCCAACGGGCGGCGGAAGCCCAGTTCCGCTCATTGGCTCGGCCTCCTCGCGCCAGCTAAACTTGCCTCTAATTGGTCAGTGTTTTTCGTTAATAACTCGTAAACGAAGCCGCGAATCGCATTTTTGCTAAGGAAAAAGTTACTTCAAATGACCTCAGAAACCCGCTATTTCTAGATCGCGAAACATTTTTGGGGCATCCTGTATGTCATTTATTCGGCACAACGCATCGAGTACGCGTCATAGTCGGAAAATAATGAAATCTAAAAGCCGGGAAAACTCACGGTAAATATAGGTAAATATATCGTGTATTCCTGAATTTTGGTTTTTAGTAAGAATCTCTGGTAATTGAGCCGTTTAAAGCAAAGATGATGCAAGTGAATTGTTAGCTGTTGCATTCTTCTGTTACTCTAACGATAAATTAAAACTTGTCAGTGGCTTACATAAAGGAGTTGTAACAATTTTTTCTGTTATTGTATTTTACAGAACCTTTAATCCATCCTTCATTATCTGCAAATTAACTTTTCCGACGTTATCTCCGTCGACATCTGTAGTTTAAAAATGTCCAACTAATTCGCACGGTGACGAAAAGAAAGAATTTCCCACGATGAAATTTCGTTCGTTGTTTGCATAAGTGCGGCTATTTCTTCCTCTAGCGCTCGTTGCGAAACGAGGACGATACTATCGAGCGGGAAATAATAGCGGAAGATTTTCTGCAGAGACTTTCGTAGTGGATGCAAAGGTCGGCCCGTATCGGGGAGCATTAGAGAGCTTAGCTGTGTCGGTAATTGCAGATTAATTTTCGCGTCAATCATTTCTCTAAATCTACGATCGATAAAAGCGCCCGCTGCATCGGCTGGATCGATGAATTCTCGAGATTAGACGAGTTCAAGTTCGTAAACGTCGGATTTTATCTGGTGATTGCAGCATCGCGGACGGTTTAAGGCCTCTCGCACTTTGCTACGAGGCGGAATCTCCGGTAATCGCGTCGCGCGGACGTTGACTTCGGGAAAAAATACCGTCAGCGAAGGGATCGCGGAAGCCTTAGCAGAAATCTAGCGCGCGATACCTCCGTTGCGATCGTGATCGGACCTTAGGTCCCTCGGATCGGTCGCCGCGGTTCCGAGAACTCGCCTGTACTCGATCTTCTAGCTCGCGGCGACAAAACAATACGCAATTGTCGAGATCGAGCGAAATCCTGCCTTGGATTTCGAGTGTCACTCCAGCCGCGTTATCGATCCGCGATATTAATCGCGAACGATCGCTGCATGTCATCGTGAAGTTCCGAGGAGTGTTTCGTTATTTATAGCGCACAATAACGAAATACTTTAAGCCCAAAGGAGAATGATCGCGTCACGAGCCTCTGATTTTTATCAATCTTGTTTTTTTTTCTTCAATCGTAATTTTCTCGGATTCGTGACAGCGAGAAAATAATTCTTCGATCATCGAACACGCCCGAACGAAGTTCGATTTTTTTCGGAAGATGTACGTGCATTTTGGGAAAAGCGGAAAAAAGTCAGTTTTAAAAAAAATATCCCTTTAATATCATTTATTCGCTGATAGTCAATTAAACATGTGGCTTATTATTTACTATCTAAATCATTCTAAAATATCGTCGTTTAAAATTAATTTGTTCTTTGAAAATAAGTTACTTTTACAGGATTTAACACGTTAAATGCCATGCCGATTTTACAGAAATTGTCCTTGGCGCCACGATGAATTTTCTTTTATGTGATACATATAATGCTGAAATATTATCTGCAATAGATAAGTAATAGTGTATAACCATGTTTGACATGTTAATTGCGACAGGGTCACTGGTAATAATACCAAATTTTAGATATTGACATTTGTTTGAAATTATATATATATTCCTATCAATTTGGGTGCGTCGGTCACCGGTGGCCCCCGTGGCGTCACCGCCAAGTTAAGTACCGGCCACCGGTGACTCCCGTGGCATTCAACGTGTTAATGTACTTAGTGTGTACTTAAATTATGTCACAGGACACTTTTTTATCTCGCATATTTTTTGAATTACGTTCAATTGAATATCTTGAATTTTCATTGCATTTTTTTATTACGAGTTCGGTGGAGTTCAGTGTTCGCTTTGATCGCATTTTGAAGAATGATGCCTTACATTAATAACAAAACGAAAATTGGCTGCTATTAGCTGCTGTTGGAGAAATCACCTAATAATAATTCCAAAATGGCACGTGCCACGAAGCATACCGTGATACCTATGTGCTATCGAGTTACGCGAGATGTTTTGGATAGATTGAGTAAAATATCAATATTTCAACTGTTCGCACTCTACTGATACTGATAAGGATAATTATGAATTATTTTTGCATATAATTATATCCAGACTTATTCTCACATCCGACCCGTCCATGTCGAGTACGAGGAAGAGAACGATCAAGAAATCGAAATCATTTCTCGAAGAAATAATCGAACTGTTGGCTTCGGAACAATGTTCGCAACATGAAAATGGAGATGCTGTTCAATTGAATTGAATTGAAAACAAAAATTGTATTTTTAAAAACTTTGTTTATGAACAATTAAAACGCTGCATTTTGTTTTCATTATTCTGTCCCAGCGAAAATCCGAATATACGTGCCAACAATGTAAAATGAAAAAGTAAGGCTTAAATATATAATTTTAGTTGTTGTATGTTTTTTTTATCGCTATGCGACGCCCGTCGTTCGAAATCAGATGCTAGAGAACTTAGGGTACAATCGGTTACGACACGTTTCGTTTCGTTCGTACGAACCGAGCACGTTTTTCGTTTCCACGGCCTTCGCCATATTCGTCCGGGCGAGTTTTCAATTCGTTCTTACGATTCACGGTGCGTAAACATTCGGTACGTATACATCATAATTAATAACTCCGGTGTTGATGGCCGCCAGGTAGGCATGTAGAAACGTTCGTCGTTCTGTGGCTCGAAAAGGAGATGGGATTCTATAACAGACCAATTAAATAGTAAACGAAACAGCGTTTAATTTAATGTTGACTTCAGATTCGTTGCAATTATCGTTTGTATTCAATAAACGACTCGTATATGCGTTAGGACAATAGATTTATGTATTGCTCTAATAAGGTTCATTGTAATTAATTTATCTTTATGTTCTCTATATTCCTTATATTCTCCATACAATTCTTTATATATTCTTTGTACATTCTTTATATACAGATCACATTCTTTATTTTTATTATTATTACAAGATATAACTCTTTTGATATCAACTAAGATAAAGAACTCTACTAGAAGGGACATCTACTTTCTACATTACCTCTTTTATGACTTTACATTATATTTGTATTACATGAACGCCATTCAGAATATATTATTTCTACTTTATGTCTCGTAATCCGGAAATGGGGGGTAGCTGAGGTCATTTGAAGTAACTTTTTCCTTGGCGAAAATGCAATCCGCGGCTTCGTTTACGAGTTATTAAGGAGAAACAGTGACCAATGAGAGGCGAGCACGGCTGTCACATGGCCGCCGAGCCAACGAGCGGCCGAACCAACGAGCGGTCGAGCCAACGGGCGGTCGAAGCCCAGTTCCGTTCATTGGCTCAGCCGCCTCGCGCCAGCTAATCTCGCCGCTCATTGGTCGCTGTATTTCGTTAATAACTCGTAAACGAAGTCGCGGATCACATTTTCGCTAAGGAAACAGTTACTTCAAATGACCTCAGGAATCCCCTCTTTCGGGATTGCGAGTCATTTTTGGGACATCCTATATAAGTACTGATTTCATGATTAACCTCTTAAGGACGATGTCTCTGCAACGTGCGGACTGCATCCATTATGTATGGATAATTTTTATAATCATCCATAAAATACTGCAAATAAATAGCACAAATTATCCGGATATATCGCAGTGTATAAAAACAAAATAAAGAGCTAAGAAAGAGAAAAATAATTAACGGAGAAATAATAATAAACGGTAAGCAATCACAACTTTTACGTCGTCCTTGATGAGTTAATATTATACAATGTATATTATGTGTGCTAATATTATACAATACAAATATAATATATAATGTTAATAAATTATACGAATATGTAATTTATAAATAATGATCTCTCGCTTGTACTGAATTTCTGTTGGAGTATACTACTAAGTTTCATTAACGACGACATTATAGTTATTGCCCGATTCTGTTATGAACATCGTGATAGGAAGTTTCAGAGGTACTCGGCCGAGCTAATATTCACCTTAATTTCTTCGGCATAGTCGAGTTGAAATGATTCCTGCGTCCCGGACAGGCGAATATCGGGAATAGCTCGGAGGTGTTCGAGCGACAGATGAAACACTTCGCGTCGAACTTTGACACGGGTTCGAGATATATTGGTTCCGCTAACGAGCCGCCTGAAATATTAATACACGATTGAAAATAGCGTCGAACGGCGTCGCGACTCGCGATAAATAACGAGGAATGCCATTCGATACGGACGCGTGCAAGGTGCACGGCTATCGGCGCAGGATCGTGATTGGAATAGCCGACTGGGACGGTTCGCGACTCGCATAATTGACCCGCTTCGGCGGAGAATACGATGAATCCGAGCTGATTCCGCTTTTGCTAGCTAATTTTGTCTGCGACGCCGACGCACGGTGGTCACGAGTCCTGAAAACGTGGTCAGAAAATCCTTAAAAATGAATTTTCTCGCAGGTTCAGTTTTAACGTTGTTTTCAGAATACTTCGTTCGCGTTCTGTTCGTATCGGTATAAAATCATATGAAAAAATGTATACTAACTATGAAAATGGAGTCGAACTTCCGAATATTTCGAGGAACGAAGATTATGAGTTTGTGCCAATTAAAAAGAAAAGATTGATTGTTTTTAATTACAGTAGCGATAGTGAGAACGAAGAAAAATTTTCATTTTCTGAGATGTCATAATTATTTTCATATAACTGTACCTGAGATTGCAAAAAGGTTAAATACATCGTACACAACAATTGAATATCACACAAGATGTCTTCGACTTGTTAAGAAGCTCGATGTTTGGATTCCGCATGAACTGAAAGAAATTCACTTAACACAACGAATCAGTATTTGCGATACGCGTTTTAAACGTAATGCAATCGAGCCTTTTTCGAAACGAATTATCGCTGGTGATGAAAAATGGATCGTTTACAATAACATCGATCGAAAATGGTCATGGTCCGAGCGTGATGAACCAGCACAAATCATATAGAAAGCTGAATTGCATCAGAAAAAGATCATGCTGTCAATTCGGTGGGACTATAAAGGTGTTGCGTATTTTGAGCTGCTTCCAAGCAACGATCAACTCAGATATGTACTGCCAACAACTTATGAAATTGGAGGAAGCAATCAAAGTGAAAATGGCAGTATTGGCAAATCGCAAAGGAATCGTGTTCCACCACGACAATGCGGAGCCACACACATCTTTAGCAACACGTACAAAATTATTGGAGCTTGGTTGGGAAGTGATGTCGCATCCTCCATATAATCTCGACCTTGCACCATCGGATTATCACATATTTCGAAGTTTAAAAAACCTTTTAAATGTTAACAATTTCAATAACAACGATAGCCTCGAATCGCGCTTGATTGAGTTTTTTTTACTGATAAGGACCAGAAGTTTTATGAGCGCGGAATCATGAAGTTCCCAGAAAGATGGCAAAAGATTGTCGAGCAGAATGGAAAATATTTAACTGATTAAAGTTCATTTCTTGTATAGAAAAAATTGAGATTTATTTCAACATTGAAATACCGAAATTACATTCCTGTCAACCCAATACAAGTCTAGATTTGTGATAAGGGCACGTGGAAACCTACGATTATAAGTGTTCAATTGAATCGGAGTCGTCTTTGTATTAGGTCTATCGGAAAGTTCTGCCCGTTTCTGAATTGAAATATAACACACAATTTTCATACATTTAATAATATTTATTGTAGAATATATTTTTCATCGTTACTTATGGCTTCTTCCCAGCGCGATGGCAACTTGTAAATGCCATTTTTAAAAAATGATTTATTTTTAGAGGCGAAGAACTCAACCAGTGCTTGGTTGACATCAACTTCAGTTTTGAATATTTTTTCCTGTAAAAAGTTTTGCAAAGAGAGAAACAAGTGATAATCGGAGGGTGCTAGGTCTGGGGAGTATGGTGGATGCGACAGAATTTCCCAGCCTAGCTCTGCGATTTTCTGACGAGTCGCCAAAGCAGCATGTGGTCTGGCATTATCATCGGTAGCCATGTTTTCACGATCGCGTCTCACTTAATAATGACATGAGACGTCTTTGTTTCAGCTTATTTAGGAGAGTACATGCGTGTAAATGCAATGATAAAGAAAGATAGTCGTATATGTCTCAAATCAACATGTGCATACGGATTGAAACTTGAAGTGACACTATCGGACAGAATTTTCCGGTAGACCTAATATTTAGCTACATTTTCGGGATTTCAAGCCACAGTAGAACGTGCGCCGATATATTGATTATTATTCGGCTGAAGCGAAATTTGTCATCGATAAGATATTGGCTCAAGTACGTTCGATACGGGTAACTCAGGTGGTCTGACTCACCGTACGCAAATTCTCCGCGAGATGCGGATACGATTCCCGCTACCCGGTACTTTTCGACTCCGCCGAACAGCCGATTCGTTTACTCTAGCGTTTATGGCCCCCGATGATTCATGCAGTTTTTCGCGCGATCCAATTCGCTGGAATGTTTTTGTGCTCTGCATTTGTATCTCCGATCGCGAATGAAACCGAGACGTATTGTTGTAGTATCAATAGCGGCGATGAACAATGGAAGAATGGAAAATTCGCTGGTTAAATTGTGCCTTCGCGCCGCCATTTTGGTCTCGAGAGAAGCCGATCCGTAAAAGTCGATTTCAATTCAAAGTTCTATGAACATGTTAACCCTTAGCACTCCGAACCATTCTGGACGTTGACTATCAGCTACTCAGCGCCACTTTTCAGCAGAAACGGGCATTTACAGACCCTCGTATTATTTAGTATGGTTTTGGAACTAACTAACATATTATAATGATATTGGACTTATATGAATTTGGCTGAAATCGAGAAATTTGCAAAAAAATCAATATTTTATTTTTTATAATTTTGTTATTGTTTGTTTTATAATTTTGTTTTGTTGTTGTAATCGCTATCTATGCGAACTCTTTCTCTCGTCGCCTTGTTGCTTGGACGATATCACTATCACTGCTATCAAAACGATTAACGAACAGTTAGTCTTTCTAACATCTCTGTATAAACGTCTATCTGGAGCTCATCTTCGCTACTACTTGTGTCATGAGACTCATTCGTGTTTGAACGTTTTGCCATTGTTCTAATAAAAAATATGAATAAATACATAGGTTGAAAATTTCTAATTGTTATTACTAACTCACAAGATGATATTTACCAAAAAAACTTTTACCAAACAATTTATTTACCAAGAGAAGAATCACTTTTCCGATTTTCTCACTCGTTAGATCTATCTATACCGCTCGACGCTTCAAACCAGACCGAGTTCAGCTTTGAACATCTTTTCCTCCAGATTTTATGATTATAAATCTTACTATATAGTGCGTGCTATGTTCGCATACCGATCTTTCGTCTACAAACTTGCTTTATCGCTCTTTTCAAGTGGCGCCTTTGAAGTGCTCGGACCGTCGTGAGCACGCCTCTCACGTTCTCGTCGAAACTCGCTGACATTTCTTGTATATATCTTAGTAATTTTACTATATTTTGATTTGATTTTTTGTGCCATTTCAAGAGAAAACTTCAGGGAAACATGCATGTCTGAAAAGGTTGCGCTGGAATAACTCAATTCCCCGTAATCACTAATAAACTTTAATGTCCCACGAGAGGGGACATCCGAGTGATGTGCTAGAATTACGATGTCCCAGGAGAGGGGACAGCGGAGTGCAAAGGGTTAAGTGCGGAGCCGATTTTGTTAGGTTTTCCGTTGAGGCGGCGTCTTGCCCCCTGTGGCTGACAGTCAGAGAACCCTTTCCATTTGGGCGGTGTCAGTCCAAAAGGACTGACAGTGTACTTTTTTTCTGAGCGGTGTCAGTTCTCAGGGACTGACAGCAAACCTATCGTTTGGACGGCATCGGCGCATGGGGCCGACAGAGTAGATTAACAAATAATGCCAGCTCAACGGAAAAACTAGAATCATCGTCTCCGCGCTTAACGTGCTAATAGAAGACGAGAGGATGCGAAAAATGTATCATTCTTTCGTCACCGGGTTTTCAAGAGACTTCCGAAAGACGCATTTCGCGTACAGTCCTATGAAACGGCTATATTTTTAGACACGTTCGTGGATTCCAATAGCACGATAACAGACGCACTTCATCGATATCCCTTAGAGCTGGCAGACCTAATGGAAGATGAGAAGAGTTATAGGAAGGAGTGTGTTTTTCATCCTCCGCCTTCCGACCGTGGAACATCAAAAGCTTTCAACGGAGCAGCGGAACGGCGAGAACGGTCAAAGAAGTAACTGATTCAATTAATTTTGCCGGAAGTATACGAAGAGTTTCCGCGACACGATCTCGAACAGAAACACGACTGGATCGGGTCCGCGATCGCGTCGGAACTTTGATAAAACACCGCGCGCTATAATTGCCCGGTTTTCGTCGGTCGACCGGACGAAACTTTCCAATTTGCGACACACCGTCGACGGTCGTCCGGGCCGCGAAGCCACGGCAATTGAGAAATTCACGCGTCACCAAGCATAATTCATAACAATTTGCGGCGACACCTTCCGCGCGACGCTTGTCCTCGCCGCGTGGAATTTCTGTATCGCGTCCGAGCGCCGCGGGATTTGGGTCGTAGAGGCGTGTCTGGCCGGTTTCAAAAGAGAAAAACGAAGAGGAGAGAGAGAGAGAGAGAGAGAGAGAGAAAATAGGAACAAAATTGTTCGCCGATACCGCTATCAGCGATCGTTAACTATTGTCCGGCGTCGGATAGAATCGCGAACGCCGCCGTTCTATTTCAAGGCATTCCGCGCGGGTCAGGAGAAATCCCCTTTCGATTTGTTCCGTTGGTTATCATCGTTTTGCGGATCTTTATGCGTCCGTACTACCCGACACTCCTTGCCGGCCGGCATCGCGGAACGTTCCACAGGCCCGTCTCTAATTTATCCGAAAGTCAAGCAACGATTGTAGTTCGGTTCGCGCCGTGGATCTTTATGGACGCGCTTGTAATTTTAGAAATCAATCTACAGAATCGAGCAGGGTGTTGGAAACAGTTATGGTATCGGTTTCTGTTCTTGACACAGTTGCCGAAAACCGAAAAAGTCGCACAGCTGTTGCAACGTATATTTGTTCTGACTTGTATCGGTTTTTTAGTTTCGATTTCTGGTCTCGATTACGGTTTTATGCGATAACTAAAAGATCCTGGCGGCCGTAGCTGCAGTTTGTCAGCAATACAAAATGCAATTCAAATGCTCAGCAATACAAATGCAATGCGATTACGCCGCACGAATTTTCAACTTAAACGTAGCATCTATATTGTTAATACTGAAAAGAAAATGCGATGCATTTATTACGCGAAATCGAACCATAACCGAAACGCATAAACGAAACTCAGAACCAAAAAAGTATTATAAGTATTAAAGGTATCATTATTATTTGATATTATATCGGTTCCCAAGAACCGAAACCGAACCGGTATACCTTATAACTATACCACGGGTTTTCATGCAAAATAAAAATTGTCTGTATCAATTG